AATCTTTAAAAAAAAATATGCTTATAATTTACTCCTGATAGTGAACATCTGTAAAACATTTTTTGCAGTGCCTTCTAAAGCTAAAAGTTTGCTTTTCCTATGAAATAATTTCATTCATGCATTCAATCAAAAATGAATGCATATATCTATGCAGAGAAATTCAAATGAATATTTCATATAAATGAAGATTATCTGGAAGAAGCGTGGTCAAGTATTATTGATTGCAGACAAGAGTTAATTTTGCAGGATGTATACACATGTAGAACGTTTTAACCAGCACACTTGGGATCTGTGTACTTTATTGCATATAAATTATGTTTTGACTCTTTCAAGTTTTCTTTGGGCTTCACAGGCATATGTATGTATCTTTTTTTAGTTTTTGTATCATGAGTAGGCCAGGCTTTCCAGATAGAAGAATGTCCTAGCCTTGAGCATAAGCATCTGCAGCAGATGCCAGACAGGTTTGCTCACCATTACCATTCTCTATGCAAAGTTTCTCTCATATAAACACTTTCCCTTTACCAGATTCATACCTCAATATTAAACCTACTGCCGTGTCACTGAGATGATCTGTATCATGGTTCAAGAAAAGCTCCTTTGATAATTTTATTACTTTATGTTTGATTAGTTTTATTTTGTTTTTTGATGTCTACTTCTTGGTAATTTACTCGTCAACTATATATTTGCAAGGGGATATAGGCTTTCCCAGGTAACTTTAAAATTTTTTGAATTATTAAATGGGAACTAAATTCTCAGGCAATTTCTGTCTTAATTAATGACTTGTTTCTACCTTTGACCATTTCATATAAGCTTTATATCTCTAAGATACCACTGATTACTATTAACATTTTCTTTCTCTTTTCTCTTGACTGATTACTGCCCAAATATTTCTTCTGTAGTACTTCATCTAATTTGTATCATCTTTAACTGGGGATTTTGGATTTTTTTCCATTCTAAGTTAATTAAAACAAACCATTTTAAATTCCATGTTAATAAAAAGTAATTGAAGTAATTATGCCATTAAAGGAATAAGGCCTATGCTATTATTACAAGTAAGTTGTGAGTTTAAGCAACTCACACTGACATAATAAGGCTTTTTATAAAGTGAAGAGATTGTGTTTCCAAAGCTTGCCTCTAAGTTTTCATTTATGATTTATTGATAGTCTTTGGATACAGTGGTTTTACTAGCTAAGAACATATCTATTTTTAGTTTTATAAGCCCACAGTAATTTTTAAAAAATGAACACAATAATTAGAACTCCAAGAAACTTTAAAGATTCCCTAGTTTTACTTCCTTTCATCATATTTATATACAGTGACAGAGTAGGGATTGAAGGAGGAGTTAGAGCAGTTATATCCTTTACCCAATGTCATTTACCTACTATGAAGCTAAGTGTATATAACTATGAAAGTCTGTTGCTTCTTGGCTTGCTTTATACTGTGAGAAATTTAGCCAAATGTCCTCTTGAAAGTAACTTTCCCAATATCTATCAGATTTGCTTAAAATCACCAGTTTAATTGAGCTCTAAAACTTTATGTACTATGATTTCAAACCTTTCTCAAAGACCAGAGTTGTGTCAGCCTGCTGCTAAATTGCAAATAAACCACTATACTGGCTGAGTCACTTTGTATAAAATACTTTACTCCTCCTTTCTCAGTGAGAAAAAATAAAATGGAACTCTTCGAACTATTTAAGATAACTTAACAACACTTTCATTATCATACACTTTTATGTTATGTTATAGGTCATTTAATGAAGGCTATATAAGAAGAGAGGTCGATAACAATGTCTGAAGGCCAAGGGAGACAGAAAAAAAAAATGCTAGGTACAATAAAATGGGTCCTTAGAATTTTGCTATTGTTTATTCTCCTTGTTCATTTGTTTTCTGATATAGTACATACAGAGCAATAAGAATAAATAAGGGAAAACTGTTGTTTTTTGACAGCCTGGGTAGTATGTGAATAGGTGATAGAATACAGAAATACTCTGCTTTTTGACTGTTCCAGTCTTCCATAACATGGAATATTATCTTCATGTTGGAAAGGTACAGAGTGGTGTGAGATAGTGTGATGTCATTTTGAAAAGTGTTCCCTAGACATAAGCAATGTGACCTTGGACCCCAACTCTCCACTCATGAGTTATATGACATTGTGCAAATTATTTGCCCTGAATTTTGCTTTTGACAATTTGCTATTGACAATTCCAAACCAGAACATTAGAAGAGAATTTAATGAGATAATATATGGAGGTTACTTTGACACAGCAACAGTTTAATAAATGGTAGGTAATAGGGTATAGTGGTCTAAAGTAAGAGTATCTCAAGTAGGATGGGGAAAAAATGGGAATGGAGAGAAAATCCTAAAGTGGATATGCAGGAAGAACAGAGAAGATAAAACAATTAAGGCAGGGTATGACCTCATGGGATGAAATCTGTTAAAGGTATGTTTTAGCAAGAACATTTCAAAATTAAGGTGAAGAATATTGCTTCTTAGCAGAGTAGCATACAATAGAATCTTACCAATATTTATTTAGCATAAGTGAATGATTTGGATAGAGGTCTTAAAAAAAAAAAAGAGAGAGAGAACACACAATGATAATAGATAAACTAAGCTTGTGAAGATTAGCTTGAAAAAAGTGAGCAAGGGAGAAAAGGGGAATAATATTGAGGCCAAAGACTAGGTTAGAAGCTGATTAGGGCAACAGAACAAATATAGCCCACCACTTGTATTTGAACACTTCATGACCTAAGAATAATTTATATATATATATATAAAAATATATATACATAATATACATAATAGTTTATGTGTATAATAGTTTATATATATTATATATTATATATAATAGTTTATATATATATAAATAATACATTTATATATATATATATGTTATATATACATATATATAATAGCTTATTTTTATATCATTTTGTGCCATTTTCCATCTCAGGTGTAATCCCCATGGGCTTCCCATCACCAAATCACCTGTGTGTTATCACCATAGTTTTATATATTATTTTAAAGATTTTATTTTATATATTTATACATACAAGAATTAGGTTCTAGGTCTGAGGTTCAGAGGGTTCACCAAAGACAGAGTAGAGAACAGAACAGGCAGATGAACTGAAATACACAGTTAAAGGGAGTAGTAGGAGAGACAAGAGAGGTCTGCTGTGGAATGTGGGTCACCTCCTTGGCCAGGGGTTGAATTCAAGCAGCAGTAGCTGGTGGTAGCTTGATGGTGCTGAGATTTTAACCCCTGCACCACCAGGGAGGCCTATATTTTGTAATGACTGAAAAAAAGTTCAAAGAAAAGAACATTTCAGACATGTGAAAATAGGGTTACTATACTTTTAGTGTTGAAAAGTAAGACAAGTTTTTGTTGTTTTATTATTATAGAGTGACCCAGCTGCATCTCAGAGAACAGGAACCATGTGTTAGGAAATACCTTATAAGCATTATCTATAAAATTCTAAAACAACCCTATGAAATAAAACTTAATGTTCCTGTTTTACTGGTGAACTAACTAACATTTCAAACAAGGTCATATAGTTCATTAGCAGTAGAATCAGAAACTTTCTCCACATTAATTTGCCTTTCCAGATTCCCATTTCCCTAGACTAGGATTAAAATCCTGGCTTTAAGAGTAGCAAGACTGTTAAGGCATGATAAAGGTGTACCCAGAGACCCCACATATTAGGGGTACATGATCTAAGGGGATCTGACCACCCATTTGCAAAAATGCAAAGAAAGCAGATTCTTAATATGAAAGAGCTTTAATGAAATAAGTGTGCATAGAGAGAGAAGAAAAGAAAGGCTATTCCTACTAGTTTCCCAATAAAAGCTCCAAGATTACCTAACCCGTATTGGGCAAATTCCCAGTCAAACAGGGTCAGCGTAAAGCAGGGCCACTGAAAGCTTGCTACATTTCTGGCAACCACAGAAAGGGGTTAGACAGATCATAGAAAGCTGGGCTAGGAAAACATACACTATCAAGATAATGGCAGCCACATCTCTCACCTATGTGTCTCTTACAAGTGTCTCTACAAGTCCCTCCTCTGCAAGTTTCCTTCCAAGTTGAAGTCTGAGAAGCAAGCACATCAGGCCCACCTATCTTCCACATTATGTCTGCCCGGAGTTCCTAGCAGTTTCTCTACTCTAGAAGCCCAGTTTATGAAATAATGGGACTTGTAATCTAAGGTAAATTTATGTTATGGAGGTAGGGAAAATATCACTTCCCCTTATCTTTAACAAGGCCATGAGAAATATAAAAGAGGGTTTGAGAATATGCTGAATGGCTACAGGGTACTTTTGGAACTGAATCAGTAGAAGGGAATGATTTAGGCAGACATATTTCTAAGAGTTGTATATGAATTCTCAGTTAATACTCATCATTCCTTTCTGAATTGTATGCTTTTATCAACATCCTGTATTGAATAGAGACGGCTTTCTACAAGCTTCCCAAATAAAAGGTCTAATGTGTGAGGCTTTTGTTGGGAGATGTCAGTGAGTCTCCAAAGGAGCACCCAACTGTATGTATTTACACTCCTCCAGAAAATCCTCAGGGGAGGATTTTTGAGACTTTTATCTTGGTGTCTTGCAATCCTGCCCTCAACCCCTTCAATGTCCCAAGGCTTTTCAAATTTTCTAACTAAAAGTCCCATGGTTTTTCCAAAATCATTCTAAAGAAAGGAAAAGAGGAAAAAAATGTATCAGCATTTGAAAAAATGCAGCAGATGAGTGCAAGTATCTAAGAGCTGAAGGCATGTAACTTTTTTGGAACAGAAGTGAGAGCAGATGAGTCTTTTGTCAAAGACTTCTGCAGCTGTAGATTTGTGAAAGTGGTGTGCAGCTCTGTAGCTGGGGTGTTTATTCCCTGGTTCTTCTCCTTTAAGCTGGCACTTACCCACTTGGAACTCACTTCTGGCAGCTGCTAACAAAACAGGAAGAGATTAGAATGCAGTCTGTCTTTACAACTGTGAACAGGGATATTTAAACTACACTACATTTTAGCAGTAGATTTACTGTTTTATGACCTCCATTTCCTATAAAACAACCTGAGAGGGGTTAAAGTATTAATGCAAAGTCCTGTAGGAACACTGACTTCATAAGGAGCTTTACAACAGCCTTTACAGCAAGTTAAAGTTAAAATCAAAACAAGCTTTTTTTTTTTTTTTTTTTGGCTAGAATTGGTGGGGGTGGGGAGAGAAAAAGGAACTGGGAAGAGAGGAGGGGAAGTTAAACCCTTTTCCCTGCCTGCTTTCTCAGAAGACCAAATATGGCATCTTCCATGAGGAGCTTGTTTTCTGACCACAGCAGATATGTTGAATCTTTTCGGAGGTTTCTCAACAATTCCACGGAACACCAGTGCATGCAGGAATTCATGGACAAGAAGCTACCAGGCATAATAGCAAGGTAATAAAAAAGGGGCATTTTTATCAGCGGGAGGAGCCTCAGGCTCTTTCTGCAGTGATAGATGGTCGATCCCAGCCTGGCAGGCTGGCCTCGGGGACAAGGAGCTAGCAACAGCAGCTCTGCTCTGTCGTCAGGGTCCCTGCACCCCTTCTCTATCGCCCCTTTCTCTACACCCCTTCTCCCGCCGTGCTTTAGTTAGACGTCCCCTTTAAGCATTCAAAGGTTCTGATTGTGCTGTATTCCAGCTGCACAGAGATATATGTTAACCATTTGAAGGCACAAATTCACTTTCATTTAGGAAAAAATAAGATACAGATCTTTGAGGTCAGATTTCTCAGACCTCCTCCAAATTTTGCATTAAAAAAAAAAGAGCCTAAAGGAGTCTAATATTCTTTTCATTAGAATCTAACATAAATAATTACCAAATACTTTTTGCTACCTGAAGATTAAATGGGTGCCTCTCTATTCTTTTAATGTCCATGTAAAGTCATTTCCCTTATTGGTTATTATAGTTACCACCCTTCAATAAAGTATCTTTCCTTTCAACTTAATATTAGCAATGTGGCCCTTTAAAAAAAGCATTTTGTTCCATTATCAGTGACACTCACTAGTTCCTATCCTTGAAGAGTTTTCATGTGTGTGTGTGTGATGAATGTGTTCAATTTGTACCACAGCTGATAAGCATTAAGAAAGTAACAAATTCCACATGCTAAAAAAGATAATCAAATCACCTATCTAGGGTGGATTGCTGTAACTTACTCTGCTTTAGGATATAATGATGGAAACCAGGGAAGAAATGACTGACTGTAGATCAATTTGCAACAGCACAGGAAACTGGTAGTTTATCTTTTGCTGGGTTTCCCTATTGTAGGCCTGAAATTCTTTCACCAGCACAGAACATCTGCTTGAACGATGTTGGATGAATACAGAATATAGAATTCTGCTTCCTTGTTTATGTTTTATGGCTCAGTTTTTAAATGTATTTTTAAGAAATAGAGTATTATGTAGTATACTAATAGGTAATAAGTAATAGAGTAACTGCAAAAAATTAAAGCGAGAGTAAATACAAACTATTCCTTACCCAGGAACTATGTTACAGTTTAATTATTTGGGTCTTTTTACCTATTGATAAAATTAAAGATGGTGAGCTAATTTCTCAGTTCCTTTTTCAATACTAAACACCTGTGTTCATGGCTGCAGCTAATTCAGATCCTTAGATTTCATCAGTCATCAGTTTATTTTGAAAAGGTACTATGAATGGATAAACCTAATGTAATATATGACTGGTGTCTGTCTTCAGGGTGTATACAATTTTACTGGATAGACAGAACATAACATTTGTAAAAGATTAAAGAACTTTGAAAAGCATATTTAAAACATTAAAGCAGTGATACATAATTAGAAATTATTTGAACCAATATAGCATTTATTTTAAAAGTAATTTCTTACCTAAAAATGATTTTTGGAATGAGAGTTAGCTATAGGACTTAAACTGCTTAAAGTTATAATTGAATATGTAGGCAACATGCTTACTTGATTTTCATTTTTATTAAAGTAAGTTATTCTCCTGTTTTTAAAGTCAAATTATCTGTCTATAACAACCACAACTCTTGCCTTTCCTATTCCTATCCTCAATTCCTACTTAACAGATGCCACCACTTTCAGCACTCAAATCCCTGTTATTTCTTTCTTTTAGAATTTTATTCCAAATTCAAAATAACATGTTCTATCTTTCTTAATTTTGCTCTATTAAAACTGCTAAATAAACTTGCATATCCCCTACTCATGTCAGTATATTTATGTCAAAATTTGTTGCTAAATAATTTGAGTGTTTTTATCATTTTACCTATGTATGTATTAGTCATAATTGAACAAAGCATTATACTGCTATACTGCCTTCCAGTACAACTTCTTATTCTTTTGTAGAGCTAAATTTTATCTGAATTTGAGCTTCAGATTCTTAGTTTTCTATGCCCAGGCAGAAATGTTAATCTTCTCTAAAAATATCCTAGGCCTCCTTGGTGGTGCAGGAGTTAGACACCAGTTAACCAGAGAGTTTAATCCTGGCCATCAAGGGAGCTCACAGCTGTCCTCAGCAGTGTATTTTAGTTGATCTGCCTGTTTTGTCCTCACTCTGTCTCTGGTGAATCCTCTCACCCCCACAGCTCTGGCTGGTACCCCAATTCTTGTGTGTATGAATAATAAATCTTAAAAAATATCGCAACAGATCAAGTACCCTGTTAATTTCTGTCCTTGGGAAAATCCTTTCTGGAGTCTCTATTCTTTTCTTTTCCACAACTTGGGGTGATTTATCTTGGTCTGCTGAACAACTATTGATGAAGGAATTTATGTTCATCTTCTAGAAATTCTCTTTTCCTCTTTCCATTAGTAGGGTTCCCAACTCTGAATTTCACACCATTTTGTCTTTTTTTTTTTGTCTTATTTTGTTAGCTTCAGCTTATCCTTTAAAAACTCTTCAAAAAAAAGAATATATGGGAGGAAACATTTTTAGATTTTGCTTCAAAGTGCCTTTACTCTGTGCTCATCTTTGTTGGTTTTATTTGCTATAAGACTCCATACTGAAAATAATTTTATGTCAGAAATTTAAAGATAATTTTCTATTGCTTTTTGGGAAGCAGAGCTGCTGCTGAAACAGTTAATGCTGTTCAGATTCCTCATCTTTGGCTTGTAAAATTTTTGTTATTATTGCTTTCTTTTGTTTTCCCTACTTAGAAAATTTTAGGATCTTCTCTTAAAGCTGGTATTAATGAAATGATTTGCATGTCTGTCTTTTTCATCCATTTTTGTGAGTACTCCCTGAGCTATTTCAATGAGATACAGATCTTGCAGTATTATTTAATCATTTTCCCCTTCGAGTTTCTCTTTCTGGGACTTGTATTCACCAAACATCAAACCTCATTAATTGATTCTATAATTTCATTTTCCATTTTTTTTACATTTTATCTTTTAGCACTTCTATTCATGCTTTAGTATTAGTTTTAATTTCCAAGAATGTTCCTTCTTTAAAGTATCCTATTCATATTTCACAGATGTAATAATAAAAATCTTCTCTTATCTATTATTTAATTTTCCTCTGCTATCCTTGCAATTCCATGGAGTTCCCTTTTGCTGTTTCTTTTGATCTGTCTCATATCAACGGACTTCCACAACTATTTGTGGAGAGTAGACTGTCTAGCTAGTTAGATAACGAGGTACTAAAATGCAGTTCAGATTCTCTTTGGGTATCTAAGAGAAGAGTTTGTTGCGTGAGTGACTCAATGCAGTAACTGGTTGTGGACTCAGCTATTTCTGGCGATTTTCAGATGTCAGTATGCATAAGTTTATTCACTGATTTGCCTCCAGAGGTAGGAATTCTTCAAACCCTGTTTTGAGGTGAAAGTTTAGGGATTACAGTGCACAGCTGTAATTTGTTTGTTTGTTATTGTTGTTATATGTACTGCATTTAGAGTTTGGCCTACCTAGAAAATAGTAAGTTTACAATAATCGTTAGTTATCATCAAAATATATGAAATTCATATATATGATAATAGTATGGCATAGTAATTATATAACACATAGCATATAATACATGATAATAGTACCTAGCTCATAAAGGAATTGTGAGGATTCAAAGAGATAATTCATGTAAATCACTTAGCTGTGCTAGAATAATGCTAATTATTATATAGTAACATTAATTGGTGAGTACTTATCAGGAGCAAACACATTTCTTAGAGATTTACTTGACTTAAATCATATAATTCTCATTTCCTCCAAAAGTTAGATATTATTATTAAAATCCCATAAGGTAGTAGTAGTATTATCCTATTTCATATGAAGATGCAGAGAAATTAAATACCTGGTTCTGGGAATTATAAAAATAAATTGGGATTTTAATCTGGGTGATATGCTTCATAGTTTATGCTATCCACACATGTAAGCATTTTTAAGAATTCACCAAGAGTATAGAGAGGAACAGGATATTGAGATTTATGAGTTGGAAGATAATTAGAACTAAGTCAGGCAACTCATTCATAGCTGCCCTTGACTCTATGCTTTTCAGTTTCCTTAAGAACCTGCCTCACCCTGCCTTCATCCGATTACTCTGTACAGGCTCTTTCAGTTCAGCCCAATGCAGGCTTATTTACCTAAAGCCCAAATTTGCAAACATCATTTTACCATCCATGTTTACCCTCTATGTGCCATTCCATTCTCTTCTTTCTAGTTTATCCCATTTCAACTACCTCTAGATCTTTTTCTGCTTTGAGTTCACTTTTAATCCCACTGCCATATAGTTTCTGTCCTGAAACTATATGGCAATTAAATTGGTGTTTTTTTTTTAAATTGGTGTTATCAAAGCTATTCATACTGTCAAGTTTAATAGAGATTTTCCCTGTTTTATTTTTCAGTAGCACACTCTGCTCCTTTGGCATTACATCACAAGTCATCATGTTTTCTCCTTCTCTTATTCTATCATTCTCTTAAGTGTTACTGTTTTCCTCTGGCTTCTTTGTGTATTCTCTATTAACACTGAATTTCAAAAGTTTGTATTGCATCATTACTTTTGCAGCCCTTTGCAATATCCTTGGATGATGAAATGTATCCTGGCTTTGATCATTACTTTATAATTCTCCGATTTATATCATTGACGTTGATCAATCTACCACTTAGCTTACATCTTGCATAACCAAATATCTACTGTTTCACAGTTATCAAAACAAAAGATAGAATAAGCAACAAACAAAACACACACACATACACATACAAAATCCCCTGACAAAAAAACTTGCTGTCAAACTATATATTCTCCAGCTTCCTTTTGGTACCACACTCAATTCAGGCATCCAAACTAGAAAGACAGTCACTGTGCACTTGTATATTTCTTGTCTCCTAGCCCCCTGCCCACACTTTTTATATCAAGCTAAATAAAGCAAGTCCTACTGTTGCATCACTGTAATTTTACTTCTATTATGAGAACCATAATACCAGGTTTTCTTTTTTTCTATTTTAGTGTTTGAACAAACTACTGTCATTCATTTTTATATCCTCCATATCCAAAGCAGGTACACAATAAATGTTTAATAAACATTTGTCCATTGAAAGGAAGTAAGCAAGAAGGAAAGAAGATAGATATCAGAAAGCAAATATGAATTACCTAAGCCTTTCCCCCGTCTACAATGAATGGCTTATTATATCACCAGACTCAAAGGTCCACTTTTTCTGTTTTTTGTTTTCCAATCTCTATAAACAAATGATATTTCCTACCTCGGGAATGTTTACACTGCTGTTTCTAAGGTCTCCCAGTAGAAGATCATTAGTGATGGAACCTGTATTTCTACAGATTTCTAAAGCAACAATACAACTTACTGAAATGATTAGAAGCTTTCATGTCAGTCTTAAGTTTTCGTTCACTGCATTTGTTTGTTTTCTTCAACAATAAGACTTTGATAATACGACTTTGATAATAAGTCTTTGATAATAAGACTTTACAATGCATCTAATTCATTTTTCTTAAATTACTTTTATTTTTCAGGATTGGAGACACAAAATCAGAAATTAAGATTCTAAGTATTGGTGGAGGTGCAGGTATGAATGACACATATTTTAAAGTTGTATTTCACTCCAAATATGTTGTTTGATGTCAGTATTGTTAATTCTTTTAGGAAAGCCATTTTCCTCTGCTTTTTGAAAAGATTGTCTTATTTAAACTTGTAAAAGCAATACCACTTCAACTAAGATTAGTGCTCTTTTAGACTTATAAGGATATGGGCCATATTTATTATCTGTAATATGGATAAGATGTGGCTTTCTTTTTCTTTTATATAAATGAAAAATGTATTTGGATATTTTTTAAAGAGTTATTTATTTATGCTTAAAGAACTGGTACAGCTTATGTACAGAGGTACAGGTGGGTGAGAGGATTCACCAGAGACAGAGTGGGAAGCAGAACAAGTAGACTGACAAAGTACACCGCTGTGGGTAGCAGTGAGTGGATCAGAAGAGGTCTGACACACACACCATGTGGGTCAGCTTCCTGGCCAGGGATTGATCTTGTGTTGCAGTGGCTTCAGAGAGCTTCATAATGTCATGCCTTTAACCCATTGCACTACCAGGGAGAGCCTCTTATTTAGATAGTTTTTAATCAAAGTGATTTAACTGTTTTCGGAAAAGGAACATTTTTATAAGGTATTTTCTAGGATTGTGTTACCTAAAATATGTTTATAAGGTGGCTTCTTATGACCAAAAGGACACAAGAAGTATGCACTGAAATGCAAGTTGATGCACAAGTCTCTTCATTCAGAAAGTATCACTATCGGAAAAATAATGTTACTAACATAGGTAATTTGTAGACTGTAACTACATTTTTGAGTTGTATTAGACTAAACCACTGAATTACTTCTAACACCACCCTCTAAGAATTTGGCACACTCCTAAACACTTTTTATAAACATTTCACAGTCTCACCACCCTGAGAGTGGGAGCTTTCATCCTAGGGGTGAAATGGGAAGTCCAGAAAGACAGACTGATTGATGGATGTGATTTTTGACTCTGCTGCTAATGAACTGTGTGATCTTGTCTGAAACGTCAGTTTGCCCATCAGTAAAATGGGGACAATGAGTTATAGCTCATAGGGTTGTATGAGAATTGTAAAGATTAGCTTGTATAAATAGCTTCTTAACACATTATTCCTGCTCCTGCAAGTTGCAGGTTGGTCCAGCCTCCAGGAAAAAAAAAAAGTTTCATCTACAAACTTTGCTTCCATATAATTCTCTGAGTATTATATTACAATTTAAAATACAGTTATATATGTTATTTATATGTGTGTTTTATTTATTTATTTATTTATTTTGAACAATCACTGATCGTTTAGTTGCCACTTGGTAACAAGAGGGCACTATATTACCATTTGTTTTATGGTGTCAAGTATACCTCTTGCTCGTTTAAATTTGAGTGTTCCAGTTCCTGGTGAATAAGCTGGCCTGCTAATAGAATGGGTTAACTAGCTTTTTGCCATTATTACTCATTTTACATAAAATACACTGTGATATAATAAAGAGTAACACTTAAATCCTTTTCCTTTATTGCCTTATCTTCCCCTTAGTAAACAGAAACTAACAAGGCCAATAAATAAAGGATATTGTCATGAATGATCCTACACAGAGTGTTTAAGCTAAAATACTTTGTTATTGCTTACTGTTAATTTTAATAGTAATCTGTAGGATTATTAGAGTGATGAATTGCCTAATGAGTGTCCTATTAATTATTTAACCAAGAAAGTCATTTCCAGAGTGTTTTGAATGTGATTTTCAGGCAACCGACAGGCAATGAGACTATCATTTGATAATGCCACTTGTGCTTGGACAAGAAGAGAAGCCCTAAAAGGAAAAGTAATTAAAAACAATCTCTATCATGGTTAACTTAATTGACCTTTTAATATAAAGTTAATTGAATTTCTAATGTAAATTTATCCAGATGCATATAAGCTATCTAAAAAAAAAGGAACATTTGCCCCACACAGTGATTCCTTCCATAAAGATGCACACTTGAGCTAATATAAAGAACTTATCAAAATAACGGGAGGAACATCTGGAGTTCCCCCTGAGCTCTAACATTTTTTTAATAACAGACTCTGTCTTGGGGAAAATTTGGGTATCTTTTAAGTCACTCGTCATAAGAAATTGATCAGAAATGCAAGATGAGCTCCATAAGAAATACATGCTATGGTTACGTAGCTTTCACTGCTCAATTAAGTAACAGTAAATCAAAAACAATGCATTTAAAATTGCAAGGTATAGAATTCTCTGACATGAAAGAACAGTGTCTTGGGGAAAAGGAAACACTTCTTAGTTAGTCTGTCATTAGTGCCCATATGCCAACTGGATGATGCTTATTTGTTGTTGTCTAACAAGCAAAAGGATAATATATTATTACCATAGAGTGAGGCCCTTCCTATACCTGCCTTAGGCATTGTCTCCCAGTACTTCCCACCATCTTACAGTGTGTCTGAGACTTTGCATTATCCTGTGGCTGTATCCTTCCAAATCGATCACTGAATTTCAATATCTGGCCTCAAATAATTTCACTTTGTAGATATTCTTTGTTAGTTGCCCAACACCTACAGACAGATCATATTTTGCATGTCTTTGATACAGATATTCTCTTCACATTTATGATGGTGCACACAATGAAAACACACAGCAAAATCAAACAAACAAAAACTTCCCAAATGAAATTACTTCCATTATGATACCTAATGCTATGTTCTTTGGGACAAAATCAAAAGGAAATCTGATTTTCTTTTCAGAAGCAAGAGCAAGGGTTATCTAGGAACCCTTTCTGTTTCCTGTCTCTTTCCATTCTGAGAGGTTGTGGATTGTATAGAGTTTTCCTATTTTCAGAGAGAGTGTAAGATTTTTGTGAAAGGCATTTGGCAGTTCAGCACAAAAGCTGAACAATTATTATTCTCTGAGCAGATCAAAAGAAAAGAAACTGATGGCAAAATTTTTTATGTTGTGTTTAAGTAATTTACCACATCAATAAACTATATTTTATAAGAAACACTATTAACCACTGGTTATATGTTTAATGTTTTAATATATTAAATGCTTAACATTTAATACTATTAAAATGTTTTAATATATTAAATGTTTAATATTTAATACTATTACCCACAGATTATATGTTTAATATTAGAGAAATATATGAAATATTTCTGTGAAACCAAAAAAAAAAATCAAAAGAAACAAAATCATAAGCAGAAATAGAGATCATAGCCCAAACTGGGAAGTATAAAGTTGTGTGTATATGTGTATGAGTTTGTGTGCCTTCATCAAACACAGCAAGCATCTGGATTTCTTTATTCAAGTTCTTGAAGTATTCATATCATGTTCACTCCAGCAGTTGTTTTTAGATATTATGACCAATTGCATTGTGTACTAAATCTCACAGAATATCCTTTTTGGTCCATGATCAACACTGATGCTTCCTAAAATTAAACCATCCACTGGAGTTCATTATTATTCAAATGTTAATTAGTTTTGTCTTTATACTAGATGGTACTTGGAGGAAAAAGAAAGTCATATTCCTTTAGGTAAGGGAGAATGATATTAATTTACAGTGCATATATTTTTACCTGACAAATGCTCCAGAAGGCAGTAATGGGTAATGTGTTCTCTTGCTCTGGGCTCTACTTGAAGGGGAATCATTTTTTTTTCTGGTGCATTGTTCATTTCTTATGTTCAAATGTCCAAAAGTTCAGTAAAGCCTGGACAGAATTTTAACTCAAATAACCTCATTTTATCCAATTTTCTACTTGTATTTTTATTAACCTATTGTATACTGATTTACCATATCAAATATAATAGTATATATGTTTATAGATACCTTTTGAATCCACTTAAGCAATTCGCATATGAAACAGACATGGTAGGAATCCTCACAATATATTTTGGTGGTAACTTTGCTGACATGTTGAAAGCAGTTAGGTGGCTTTCTTGTTCTAATATATATGCACACCAGAATTTCTCCAGAGATTAAAAAATTTAGTGAGTTTAGAGGTTATCATCACCTTCATTAGAATAAAAACCCAGTCTCATAAAGGAAGAACAAATTCCTGATCTCTTGATTTCATTACAGTCCAACAAATTATACTAACCCAATATAAAAGTTAATTATTGATTTGGCAAAGGAGGTGTTAAATACTTAGTTATGATTAGCTCTTTACAAATCTAATCAGCTTGTTTATCTTATGTCCTTTCATAAATGTGATGTTAAGGTGACTCTGAAGTTTTCTTTTCTTTATTTTTTTTTAACTAGGTGGTTAGGAATGCAATAAATGCTATTATGGTAAGAGCTGGTAGAACCAATATTTCATTAACTTGAGAGGTCAGAATATGATAGCAAGCAAATGACAACATTTTCCAGTGTCAACAGTATATATTAGCAAATTAGGGTTGATTGAGGAAATATGGATATTGGCGGATTATTTTTCTGTCCAGAAAAAAAAATCTAAATGTGCTTATGGCCATCTTCATATTGCCTGTTGAACAAACTATATATTTGTCCCTTGAGACAAAGGGTCAAAAGAGAAAGTTGTTTTTTTTTGTTTTTTTTTTGTTTTTTTTTGGTTGAGTATTATATTTTACTAATGACCAAACATCTAGAAATGAAAGCACATATCTGGGAGACAATAAGCTATCTGTCACTCTAGGGATGTTAACCTAGACTGGAAACATATTTTCCAGATATGGTATGGAAGGAACTCAGGCATTGATTTCTTCAGTATTGGGACCATTAAAGCTGTTTTTCAGTCTGATAAAGAAATAGATGATTTTATAGGCACCTTCCTTGTAACAGGTATCATCTCTCCAGTGGTGTGGCTAATACCATATTTGGCTATGAGATGAAGTTACAGGTTAAATGGGACTCCAAACATGTAGACAGTTTTTAGTCTGCTTTCTAATTGCTTTGTAACTTGAAATGAGGAAGAATGATTTACCCATTGCAGCATGCTAGCAGTTATCCCACTCTTAGAAGGGTATGATTGACTAATCTGTAGGGCGTAGGACTGTTTACTTTTGGGTAAC